ACAGGCTTAACGCGTTTAGGGCACGTGATCCTTCAACTCTATTCAACAGGCTACCCTTTCCAGCCATGTCGGCATCTTTAGCACAGCGAAAAAATACTGAACAGCAGATTGTGCGGAATGAAACGCTTGTAACTGTGGTACAATTCATACACGAGATAGTACAACGTGATTTACGTGTCAGTATGCTATATTTTACCACCCGAATACTGCATATTCCGTTCATAGGAAAAACTGAGCTGACTCCCTCTCGCTGATGGCTAAAGCCTGTGTTCTGGACGTCATCGCAGGATCACTCGCCGAGAAGGTATGTGATTCAGTCTGTATCTTTCTCGAGTCCGAGCCAGGTCGCACCCGACGATGTTTGGCCTCCATCCCGCTTTCCAGGCTGCTCAGCGTCAACTTCATGTCTAATACGCTAGGAAGAACGTTCAGCATGTCAACGACGACCTTCTCATTGAAACGTGTTTGTATGCCATTCGTCGACCGTATGTAAGGGTCGTCAACCCGTATCGACAGCTGCTGGAGTTGTCGCAAGACTGCCAAATTATGCACAGCATAACTGCCGGCAAGCTATCACCAGTGGATGAGATTCTAGACACGACAAGAATACGAAATGTCACCTACGCTTTCAATTACGGTCTGCCCTGGCTCATCAGGTCTAAATTCGACGAACATGGTGAGGCTGCGAAGCTGTGGCGCCGCGAACCCTAGATTGGCGCATACCCAGTTGAAGATGGCGCCGTTCAAATCTAGAGATATAAAGAGGCCTTTGACGCTAGGGCAGCTTTGCAGGACACCAAGGAGTATGGACAGCTTGTCACCGTGGTCGATACGGTCGGACACACCGATGAATTGGACGGGATGGAAGCGCGCCAAAGCATTGATTGCGGCAAGCGAACCAGTGAGGGAGCGAAGCTGTGGCCAGTAAGAATATTCTTCCTGGGAGAGATGCTCTCCAGCATGACCTTCGCGCAGATGGTCCCAAGAGAGTTTTCGCAGGCCTGGGAAAGCATGTACGAAGCTTTTCGTCGAGATCAGGATGTCCTCCAGAGACAGCTTGTGTACGTGAGGGCAGACGCAACCCTCTAAGGTTATCAAAGGTTCATCATTGCGGTCATCCGCGGATCGAAGGTGTTTCATCAAAGAAACTTCTGTCAATGTATCGGCCGATGATGCTAGCAGACGTGAAAGGTCCGCAGAAAGAGTTGGTGAATCCCAAATGCGCCGAAGAGTCAGTGATTGGAGAAGGTGAAGATTTCGGAGGGCCTGTAGCACGGGCGAATAGACAACATTGAGATCGAGGTGCGTCAGAGATGTCAAGGTCGATAAAGCAGCCGTTGCCCGTGGTTCGAATGGGAGGTATCCAGTATAAGAGCTCAGGGTGAGCGATCTCAGATTAGTGGCCTTCTCCAGCACTTCTCCAAGCTCTGCGATATCTTCCATTCTTTCACGAGCCGGGCGACTTCTGAGACTTCGGGTGCCTCCAAAGGTGAGTGTCCTGATGTGACGACATAGATCCTTAGAGCGCACGAGATGACAGAACGGCTTTAGTGCACTTGAGCCTTCCCGGATACGGACGTCTCGTACGAGACGTGTTTGTACCGCCAGTGTGAAGGCTCTATGAGTCAGAGCCAAGCTCAGCAGTGAATGCTTATCGAGGAGCTCGACAATACTGATGATGCAATCTTCGTTGAGGATGAGGAAGGGAGACACCTGTGTTACATTAGTTTTGGAACGCGTTCAATTCTATGACTGAGAGGCGCACCATCTTCCCCGTAGAATCGATACTGCAAAGCTCCCCCGTGTCTCTGTCCTTGGCCGAAGATGTATGTGAATTTCTGAGAGAGTTGGCATCCAGAGGTTGTCGTGTGCAGAGACAAGGATGGAGAAGCGACGCAAGTCGCGAGCTATGTAAAGGCTCGGGTCAAAGGGCTGATCGTCTTTCGGGATCGGCCGATAATGGCCCAAGGAGACTGAAAGTGCTACCCACATCATAGCATGCAATGACCAGGACACCCAAAAGGTGCTTAGTTGCAACAGCGAAAGGGGCAACGGGGCAAAATTTTCCGAAGACCTCAACCCAACCCAGCCCAACCAAGACCAGTCACGTGAAATAGGTTGTCATGGGTTAGTCAGCACGAGAGCCGACTGCGCTTTCTCCTGACTCTCGCTTCCACCACCATCATGGCACGGTCAGTTCGCGCGCGCACCCGCTCCGTTGAAGAGCGCGACGACGGTTCGGAGTCTCCTCTGGATGCTGGGAGTGGTAGCGATGCCGAGGTCAGCACATTCGCATCTATATACCGCGCGTTTGATTTTCTGACATACGTACAGGAGCAGGATCTTTTCGTTCGAGAAGAGAAGCCGATGAAGTTCTTCCTTTACGACATCTCAGACGACCGCGCGGAGGGGCTCACAGAAAAGATTGAGGCACGTTCTCTTACCCCACGCTCTTCGTGCGACACGACAGATTGCTGATTGACCTGCAACCCAATGTACAGGCACACGGCGGGCAGGTCACGAGTCTCGAAAACAAGGCTGCCATCATCCTGGTAACAAAAAGAAAGCACTATGATGTGCTCAAGTTCAAGTACGACATCGTGAAGGACAAGTGGGTGCATATGTCGGGATGGGTGGATCAGTGCATCGAGCGGAAGAAGGTCCTGTACCCCCGGCCTCAGTTCCGCAACATGGGCGGCACCACCGCGCCCAAGCAGGGGAACTCGGCCCCACGTAGATCGTGCGTGCAGACTCATGTTGCGCCTTCGCGCCCCTGACGATATCACCGATATCTAGGCCTGTGGCTTTCACCGAAGAAGATCGCCTCAACCTCTGCCGCTGGATCGCGACGAAAGTACCCTACAAAAACGATGGTGGCCGCAACGGAAATAAGATTTATAAGGAACTTGTAGAGCGGGTGAGCTGCTGACAAAACGCCAGCCCGACCTGCTCATCTTATTTTTTTTGCAGTGCGAAAAGTTCGGCCAGTGCCCTTGGGCAGCGCGCCATACGTGGCAGGCATGGAAGCAGCACTACAAGATGAAGCAGGATATCCTGGACAAGATAATCGACCAACTCGTCGAGCAGGATCCTCCGGATGCGTCCGGGAAGGGCCAGCACCGCCTGAAGCGTCGCCGCGTTGGCATGGAATCTGACGACAGCGAGGTCGAGCCTATCCGTGGCGAGGAGGACACGCCGGAGCCAGAGCCGGCGAAGGAGATTGAATCAGAGGACGAGGAAAACGCCGGTGCACAAAAAGAGCTGCGGGAGGAGGAAGAAGAGGAAGAGGAGGAGGGAGAAGAGGGAGAAGAGTTCAACTCGGATAACTGGGAGAACCAGGACTCGCAGGTTGAGAATGCGCGAGTGGGTCAAAAGCGACGGAGGTCCTCTGGGACCGAACGAGAGAACCAGCAGCGCGACTCGACCACTACGCCTGCAAAGCGGCGGAAGACTGTAAGCTCTTTGCTCAGTGCGCTAGATGATAACTGACCACTGGGATAGACTGCTAGTAAGAAGGCGCGTCGTGTCCCCCAGAAAGACCTTGGAGGTGTGTATGAAGGTGCCCAGTAAGTGAACGCCGAAACCGCCTGTTACAGCTCTTTGCTAATCTGTCTCTCGACAGCGATCATGAGAATTTCGCTCCGGAATGGCCAGAGCATGCCCCGGACGAACAGGTCGCTCCGCAGAAGACACGCCCTAGGCCTCGCCCCATCGCCAAGGGCAAAGGCAAGGCGGCAGCCCCTCCCGACAACTCCCAGATGACCCTCGTCAATCCGACCCAACCACTCCCCGCTCGCGAGGAGTCCGAGGAAGAAGTAGCGGCGGAAGCTACTCCCTCGCCCAAGGTATGCTTCCTTTGCACCATACATCATCTGTGCGTGATCTGAACGGATCCGTTGTGGCTTGTCGAATTCCAGGGCAAAGGAAAGAGGCAGACTCGGGGCCGGAAACGGCCTGTAGTAGAGGTAACCCGTCGCATGACACGTGCACGCTCGCGCTCGGCTAGCGTACAGCCTGTCGAGATGCCTCTTCCCTCCCGTCGCATGGCAAGGGGGAGGAGCAAAGCCGTGCCCATGCCTGCGGTCCAGGAGGAAATTATGGAACCCGAAGAGGAAGAGGAAGAGGAAGAGGTGGTGGAAAACGCGGAGGTACCCGAAGAGCCCCAGGACGTACAGGATGGCGAAGAAGAAGAGTCCGAAGTAGGCTCTGAGGAGAGAGACGCCGAAGCTGAGGAGGAAGGTGCGTAAACCGGAGTCCGAGTTTCCTCCACTACGCTCAACCACAGCTACAGAAATTCCCAGTGCGAGCTCCGAGGAGCAGGCCGCGGCGCTAGTCGCAGACGAGGAGGCCGGAAGCAGCGTACTCACGGACGACGCAGAACTGGACTCCGACTCCGATCAAGAGGAATTGTGGGTCGACAATATGCTGACCCCCCGGCCTGCCAGGCGCAATCCTCCGACCGAGCCCTCGACGAGGAGTCTGAGATCCCGGCCTCGCATTCCGACGCCGTCTGAGGAGGAGCTGTTCCCGTCGCCGAACACGAGCGCGCGGGCGCACATTGAGGAGAGGGAGCGGCATGCGAGGGCCGAGCCGTACGTTCCTCCTCCGGGGACGAGGGCGCGCAAGCTTCGTTCTCGCGGCTGAAGACCGTATTCTTGATTCTTGGGACGAGGGCGGGGGTAGCGGATACGTGCTCGTAGGGGCCCAGGGCGTCTACCGGGTGGGTTAGGCTATGCCACCTTTGCCAGTGTTGCTCTCCTGTATGATCGGCTGCCTTCGGAGGCGACGATCTATTCAGCTATATAGCTTTTGTTGTCCCATGATTTTCGGACTCATATATTGCACATGTACTCGTACATGGTTATGCGTCGCACAAGAATCATAGAGCTACTTGAGCAACTCGTCATCATTGCGTACGCTGTCGCATACTGCCTTGGCGGCTTGCAATCACTCATGCACGTAGCAACTGTTGAGCAACATATTTCTCGTGCCACAAAAAATGGACGAGAAGGGATTTGAACCCTTGGCCTTCTGCAAGTATGTAATGGCTTCCGCAACTACTATTGAACATGCAAAGCAGACGCGCTAACCGCTGCGCCACACGCCCATATTGTTTCTGAAATTTTATGCTACCGAGAGCTGCAGCGTGAAGGGAAAAATGTACACTCACGCAAACAACGGGCGGGTAGACTTTCAGGTCATCCACCACGAGCCGTAGCCTCCTACACTTTCTCTCTGAGCCTCCCTCGGGTTTCTGCTCCCCTTTCTGTATCCTTTCTCTTTTGTTATCGTGCGGTGCCCGTAAAACCCAATATCGTCCTACAATGACTAACGTATCATCAGGATCCAAGCGTTCTTACGAAGGCGGGAGCGATTCTGACCATCACAAGCGACGGAGGAGCAGCCATGAGCCTAGAGACTGGCGGGATGTACATCTACACTCGCCTCGGTCCAATGGCCGTCACAGCAGACACGACAGTGTAGAGAGTCGCCATCGAAGTGACCGCGACGACCACGGACGCGACTACGATCGCAGGCGGGCTCGGGACTACAGCAGGGACAGACCGAAGAGGGATGAACGTGACAGGGACCGAGAAAGGGATAGAGCGAGAGAGCGAGAGAGGGATAGAGACCGGGACCGGGAGCACAGACGCCGTAGTCGGGACCCTCAACCAAGGAAGGACGAAGACCGAAACCGCGCACCGATCTCACCTCGAAGCCCCTACAACGGGCAACCTCGTTCTGCAAAGGGACACGATTCTGATAAAGAAGAAGGCGAGTGAGTATCGCATACAATTCGAGATTCTTTCGTAGGAGTCGTATTGATGTCTTCCAGGATATCTCCTCCCCCAAGGGCGTCCCGACCCGTTGCTCTATCAAATAGTGTCGCGGACAATGCACCTGGTGCATCCGTAGCACAATCATCACAGGACAGCGCATCCCAGCCAGCGCCTAAGGCCAAACCAGCGCAAGAACCAGAGCCAGAACTCGAGCTGTCAACATCCCCTGTACCCCTCGAAGTCACTCTGGCCCAGCGCCGCGCCAAGCGTCAAGCCATCCTTGCGAAGTACGCGGGCATCTCGAGCGTTAACACGGCCGGCGCGAGTCCTAGCCCGGGACCTAGCAGTGCGGTCCAGCCGCCTCAGACTCCTCTTTCCGTTTCTAATACCGTATCTCAGTCTCACAGCATTGATGGCACACCCGACGTCGAAGTTGTGGATTCACAAAGTCAGTGGTTCAGTTCTTCTTTCCATAATCGAGCTAATTCTAGGTTTTTGGCAATTGTTCTTTGTAGAGCGTGCGGTGTCTGCGTCTGCATCGCCCACGCCGGCAGACTTTGACCTTGCAAAGCAGGCAGAGGAAGAGGAAACTCAGGTCGAGGCTCAGGCTGAGGCGAGACGCGACGGGGAGCATGAGCAGATCTCTGCTGCTGATTACGACCCAAGTCTAGATCGCCGCGAAGATGAGGAACGGCGTGTTCGCGGCGCTGAGCCCGCGCAAGATGTCGAAATGATCGAAGAAGAGGAGGAAGAGGAGGAAGATCTCGACGACATGTTTGCGGTCGCCTCGACCGAAAAGAAGAAAGTGAAGAAGGTGAAGAAGGTCGTGGTAAGTAACTGATTGACGTTCAGGCGATGCGTGCTCAATGATGTTTTTAGAAACGGGCCGCTCCTGCTCTAATTACAACGACGCTAGACTCTGCAGCCGATGCAGAAGGATATTATCAAATCATCCTTGGTGAGCAACTTGATGGCGGAAGATATCAAGTATTCTCCTCTCTCGGCAAAGGAATGTTCGCCAATGTGGTGCGCGCCCGTGTCCTCCAGGGAGATCCGGGAGAGACAGGAAAGGAAGTCGCGATCAAGATCATTCGCAGCCAAGAGTCTATGTAAGTTTATTTGACGTATGTTCTGATACTGTCTTTCTAATTTTCGGTTTAGGTATAAGGCAGGGCTCAAAGAGGTCCAGATCTTAAACAAACTAAAGCAGTCTGATCCAGAAGACAAGAAACATATTGTTCGATTAGAAAGGACGTTCGAGCATCGTGGTCATCTGTGTATTGTATTCGAATCCTTAAGGTAAGCTAGTTGCTCTCGGTACGTTCGAAGGCCTTTGACAGACTTTGGTCTACCAGCATGAACCTTCGTGACGTAGTCAAACGTTTTGGGAAGGACGTCGGACTCAATATCCGTGCCGTCCGTGCCTATGCTCACCAGCTTTTCCTGGCCATGAGCCTTCTTCGCAAGTGCAATATTATGCACGCCGATATCAAACCCGATAACATTCTGGTAAGTTTCTTTGACGTTCGGCCGGCTGCAGAATTCTTCTGACTGTGGCCCAGGTCAACGAACAGAAGACTGTCCTCAAGCTGTGCGATCTCGGTTCGGCCTCCGACGCTTCGGAGAACGACATTACGCCCTACCTCGTGAGCAGGTTCTACCGTGCGCCCGAAATCAGTCAGTCCCTTTCTTGACACTTCGTGCGCCATCGAGGTACTGACGTCATGTGAACAGTCCTCGGAATTCCGTACGACCCCGCTTTGGACATCTGGTCTATCGGATGCACATTGTATGAGCTCTACACGGGCAAGATTCTCTTCCCAGGCAGGTCGAATAACCAGATGCTCCATCTCATGATGGAAGTCAAAGGCCGCTTCAACCACAAGATGATCAAGAAAGCGCAGTTCGGGAACGTCTACTTCGACGACATGGGAGGCTTCCAGGCCGTGGAGAAGGACCGTGTGACGGGCGGGGTGCGTAATTCTTTTGCAGCGTCCGATAATCTGTTGACATCGGATCCTTGGCGCGCAGGATGTCGTCCGCACCGTTCACGTTGCGAAGCCTTCCCGTGACCTGAGGGCGCGCCTCATGCCTTCGGCCTCGGCCCAGATGAAGGATGACGAGCGGAAGCTGCTCACGTCGTTCGTCGACCTCCTGGACAAGTGCTTGGCGCTCGACCCCGCGCGCCGCATCACGCCCAAGGAGGCCCTAGTGCACCCCTTCATCAGGGGATGAGCCCTTGTACCCCGAGTATTCCACCCAGAAGGTCTGATTCTGCGGGCCGTCCTGACAGCCTACTAGCAGCGTCCTTCCATGCGCCATTGACAATGACAACTACTTAGCAGGTCCTTTGCGGCCGCTGCGTCTCCCACGTAACATTAGCAGCGTATAGACTCTGAATTATATAGCGACTGTCGATGACTAATTGGTTCTTCCTTCTTCTGGTGTCACGCCGCCTGTGAGATCCACATCGTAGTTTAGTGCAGGGCTCCCAGCGCGCGCCGTCCCATGGCCATACTAGTGCAGTCAGGTGAGCCAGGCGCACCTTCGTCCGCGGACACACCCGTCACGGCGCAGTTATAAATGCCTTGACATGGGAACGTGCAATGGTGCACTATCTCCAACCCTGCACGCAGTCGTACTGACATCCGTTCGCTGACTGAAACCCCCGCAAGATGTCGCATTTGCTGAAACACGTCGCGGAGCACCTGAGGCGGCCGGCGGCGCACGAGGAGAAGACGCTGCCGTCGTACGACCAGCTGCCGAACTTCAAGAACTTCCCCGGCTGTGCGTGGGAGGTGTGGGGCGCGAAGGACCAGCTGGGCACGGTGAACCTGCTCACGGACGCGGTGGTGAAGCGCGCCGCGGAAGAGATCAAGTACGTTTCGTCGCTTTTGTTATTTTGATGTTTACATGGGGGTCTGGACACTCAATTCGTCGGGTGCGGGAATAGGACGGGAAGAGCCGTGTCTCTGAATTGGTGCGTTTAAAATTTATAGACTGTGTTGTAGATCTCGGAAATTGAGTATGAGATGTGTGCAGGCCGATCCAATTCCCCTCCAGGGTGAGTAGATAGTATCTTATCCTTCAGCTGTGCTTACTCACCTTGTCCTTCCAGCCTGCATTCGGACGTGCTATTCCGGAGCATAAGTCGTGGATCAAGTCTGGAGGTGCTGGCGTGCGCGATGACGAGCTGCACATCGTAAGTCAATAATTATTATACCATTGGTCACCAGAGAACGTCAACTGAAGTCACCGATTTACTTTCGATACATTTCTAGAACACGCAATCCGGTTCGCAGTGGGACGGGTTGAAGCACTTCCCGGTCATTGAGCACCAGGTTCTTTACAATAAGTAAGTCATGTTTTATACGCGGGGTACACTAAGGACATGTTTTGACTGTAGAGACGTACAGCACGCCCGTGGATTCCCTCCCTAAGGATGGCCTGAATTTCCCTGACCCCTTGAACATCGACCCCGAGGTCATCAAACTGGGCATCCACAGTACGTTCCCCACTCTTGCCTTCGTCTCTCGCACCTTACACCTCGACCAGATTGGGCCCAGCACGGCATCTGCGGGCGCGGCGTCCTTCTGGACATGGTACGCTTCTACACGAAGAACGGCCAAGACCTCCCCTACGACCCCTGGACCACGCACGCGATCCCGCTTGCGGACCTCGAGGCGTGCGCGCGCGAGGAGGGCGTGACCTTCCGGCGCGGCGACATTCTCGTGCTGCGCGTCGGCTTCATCCAGAAGTACTTCAAGACGACCTTGGAGGAGAAGAACGCACTGCGGGAGCGCGAGGAGACCTTGTACGTACCGTGCCCGCAAGCTCGCTCTCCTCTTTTTTTGTATCGCGTGAATCCTGACGAACCTGCGAACCCAAGTGCCGGAATCGAACAGTCTGAGGAAATGAAGCGATTCCTATGGTCTGGCTTCCATTTCCCTGCTCAGTTTCATGAAGGTTGACCCAGACCTGCGCCCGTGGGTAGGGACAACCACTTCGCGGCCATCGCGTCTGACCAGCCCGCCTTGGAGGTAAATCTCCCTAAACCCTCAGGCAAAATCCGGCTCATCCTATTTCAGCGCTGGCCACCAGCAGAGGGCACCCCCCACATGCACCAGGTACGTCCTGCCGCGCATCCTCTCACAAGTCACAGTCTGTAGTACTCGATATCTCCCGCTGACCCGCCGGATCAGACACTCCTCGGGTAAGCCCTAGCCAGCACTCCGTCTCCAGCCTCGACGCTGATCAGAGCCCACGACCACCCCCCGCCTTCGATCAGACTCTGGGGCATGCCTATAGGTGACGCACGCGCCGCATC